AGAGTGTGAGGTTTTTCCTCAAGAAGGAAGGAACAGCAGAGACAGTGTGTGATGGACTGACCACAACCCCCACTCCCTGTCCCCCTGTGCTGCTGGGGTGGGGAAGAGGCAGAGAAATGGGGAGCAAAGCTGAGCCTGGGAAGATGGGAGGAGTTGGGGGAAGGGGTTTTATCTCTCATTTTCTGATTTAATTGGTAACAAATTGATATTTTCTTCCCAAACTCGAGTCTGTTCTGCCCGTGACCATAACAGGTGAGTGACTGATCCCTCCCTGTCCTTGTCTTGACCCACGAGCCTTTCCAGATATTTTCTCCTCCCCATCCCACCAAGAGGAAGAGCAAGCAACTGGCTGTGTCTTGCAGAGTTGCCAGCCAGGGTTAAACCTCAACATATATAAAGTTTACTTTCCTTTTCTTTTTAAATATACACAGCATAGTGACAATCTGGGGAAAAAAAAAAAAAAAAAAGAATACTGAATGCTTTCAACAGAATAAGAAACAACTTGGAACATGATCCTGTCTTTTAGCCTCTCCATCTCGATTTTCTTGTACTCACACAGAGGCAACGAGTTCTTTAAAAAGTACAAAGGTAATTATCAGTTTCCAGGTTATAAAAACAGGGTTAAAAGCACATGGATGAGCTGCTTTGGGTAGTTAATATTTTTCAGCCTTTGATCAAGCAACTGCAGGCAAATACAAAGCAGAACAGGGTTACCCATTAGGAAGGAGGGCAGGCTGTTAGCAGGACTGCTCCTATTCCACACACGAGATAAGGGAGGGGGAGGAGAGGAACAGAGGAAAGGACACATTCTTCCCTCCTTGAAACATACTTTCCATTTGTTTCTGAAGTAAGTTCTCAAAGTAGGAAAAAAAAGAAGTATGAGTACATTAAATATAAACAACAGCATCTCTCTGCCAAATGCATGTCATTACTGCAGTGCAATCCAAGCAGAGAAATTAAACAAACTTATCATAAAGGCAATGAGGGACAAACCTTTACAGCTCCTAGCTGCTCTTTCCTAAATCTTTCCAAAGGTTTGATCAGAGTTTCAGTAACACTGAGTGCCTAAAACAAAAAAAACGCATGGGTTAGGTTTCTGTAGCCAGAATGACAAGTCACTTCAGCATCAGCAATAAAAAGAAAAAAGCAAGCAAGCTCATGGGTAAAATAAAGGAGAAGCATGAAAGTTAGGAGCCTTAAGTCCTAACTAAAAATATCACATCTCTGAGTTCATTTAAGCTTTCAAAATTTCTATCCCTTATTTCAGTCCACTGTCAGGAAAATTAAATCTAAAATAAATGCAGAAATTTTAGAAATTTAGAGGCTGCAGCCAAACTGCAACTGCTTTACTCGCAGAAGTCTTGCGGATCAGCTTGACTGTCTCAATGACTGAACACCAGAATGAGACACAGGACAAACTATTCTCATTTGGGAACACAAAAGTTTCTGCAACAAGAAACTCTACAAACAACTGCAGAATGGACTACTGAGTAGCAAATAATAAGGCTTTAACACACAGTTAAAGCCATTAGGCATTGGTATCTATATTTCCAAATACTTACATTTAATTACATTACGAAAATCTTAAGTTAACCAAAGTTGGAAAATCAAGAGTTCCAAAGTTAAGAAAGAAGAGGTTTAGTTGACTGGGTGAGCAGCCACGAGTGCACTTATGACAAACTGCCTCATACCATGCTAAAGAGAAACAAAAAGGCCACAATATGCCATTTTAAGACAGAAAAATGTAAGTTATTAGATCTGGCCAGCAAACAGAGTTTCTAGTTCACATGAAGTTTCACTGGAGAAACAGCAGGGTTTGGTTTAGTTTCTGTGCAAACAAGACCTAAAATTTTTTAAATGTTTGAAATTTCAGCAAAAGTTGGGACTTCGTGAATGCAACAGCAGCACAAAAAGGATGGCAAGAGCATCAGGTGTGGAGGAGCAGGTGGGATCCTTTTGATCTCAGTCCTAAAAAGACTCACAAAGTAAATCAGTAAATTGTGACCAGGACTGGGCTTATCACACCTCGGGGCTGAGCTGCCAGGCGTCCAGGCAGAGCCCCATGGAGCCCATCTTAGATACAACCAACAAAGGCTTTTTCTGTCTCCTCCCCCACACCGCCACCCCCCTTCAAATGTGAAAAGTTTCAGATAAACCATTGAAGGCTTAAACCAGCCTTGTGGAACACTCCTGAAAAGCTCTTATCATATAACACAGGAGGAATGTATTACAGATCTGGCATAAGACAAATCTGAACAGAGCTGTCTGCTCCCACCCACCCCTGGAGCCATGCAAGGATTACTGCGGGACTCATCCTGCCAACTCACCGTAACCAGAGCAACCCAGATGTTCCAACAGCCAGGGCAGCACGCTAACCTCTGTGGCCAACAAACCAAAATATTTGGCAAGTCTGGGCCAAACTGCATGTTGCAGTGTCATCCAAACACCAGACACTTCCTAACTTCAAAGCACTTGTTCTCATGGCCCAAAACTTTTCTCTCTGCATCCACTTTGTCAAAAACAATTAAAGCTCCCTTCAGTGCAACCTTGGTGGGAGCCAAAGAAAAAGACTGGCTGACAACTGTGTCTTTCAGAAATGTACAGCAACACTGGGCTAACCTCGACACAGGAGACACTTGTGTTGAGCTAGAGGGTGGGGAAGGGACCTCTGCCGTGACTCCAGCCCAGCAAGGGGATATCCCAAGACTCTGGGCATGCTCTGGGTGGCTGGAGAACAATTTGTTCCCTGAGCTGCCTCCACTCCCAGTGAAAGAGAGCCAGGGCAGTCATATGCCCTGAGCAGGAGCTGAACTGTGGTTCTAGGAAGGATTTAGCCCACCTGGCAGCCTCTGGACATACATCACGACTCAAGCAGTTACCAGGAGTCTCCAGGGCAGTTTGTCATATAACTCAGGTTTTACAAATTTTGTCAGACTCCTAAAACTTTCCTGGAAATTCTTAGTGGCTGAAAGGAAACAGTAATTTGGCTTTGTAATTGGATCAAGCACCAGTAGCAGTTTCCTGGGACACAGCAAAAGCGCCTGGGGACTGAAGGATCTCTCCTTGCTTGCTGGCCACAAGGATTCTCACAAGTCAGAGCGGAGAATTGCTCGTGGAAATCACAGAACAGTCCTTCTCTACTGGAGAACTTCAAGAAGTTTCAATTGTTTCTGCCAGTTTCCTCTATACTGACAAAATGAGGGAGAAAGCTATAAGGCCTCCTCAGAGCAAAAGGCAGAGAGGACGACCCTAGCTGCAAGGAGGGAAGAGCACCATGGTTAGTGGAACCATTTAAAAGCACAGAAGGTACCAGCTGAACACCTCAATGGTCAGAAGGTGATATCTGATTTTTAATATCGTTAGATATTAAAAAATTAATATCTAACAATAAGTTGCTTATTAGTTGTTTAAACTTTTCCACAAAAAATTGAAATGTAAGATCAACAGGCAGTGAATGCATGCTGAACATGAAGTCCAAGCCACAGCAAACCATAGCACCTTGATGTAACAGCAAGGGGGGAAAAAAAAAAAAAAAGGGAAAAAACCCACATGCAGAAAAGGCTGCCATTCATAAACCAGCTGGGCTGACTGCAAATCACTTGGTCTGCTACACTCCTGTGCAGCATTAACCATGGGAACCACTACAGGAATTTGTTTGAAGCAGAAAATAATCTTTGAATCAAAATGGGATGTTCCCTCAGCGACTGCCAACAGATTCCACTGCTGCCAGTGGTATGATATGCTAGTAACTTTCATTAAAAGAAAAGCAGGCCTCCTCTCCTTCCAAAACAGATGTTTCCCACTTTGCGTAACAAACTTTTGCTAACAGATGCCTCTCCAACAGAATTTTGCCTGCCATACAGGTATTTATGATTTGACACCCCCTCTGCTTCCTGTACCTGGGCTAAACAACTGCGCTCAAGTATTTCTTGGTGATCTTTGGTCATTCTCATGGAGCTTTATATCAGGCCCATATATAAAAGTATAAGAGGAATATTTCCTCCTCGTTGAAATGAGCACATATGTGAGCTTATGTGTGTATAAGCGTAAACTTTCAACCAAGAGGTGACTGGTAAATTTAACAGTGAATTACAGAGCTGTTCTTCTGACTGGCAGAAATAAAAACAAAGGTCATAATTAAAATATGCACAATACTACATTAAATAAGGGAGGTATTCACACTGTTCTCCAGTACTTAGAATCCAGTGCTTGTCATGAAGAGCTACAAAAAGTTGTGTACGTATTTATAGACCAAAAATATTAAACTGATGTTCACTGTTAACTTAGTTTATTTCTAACTTGGGAACTCAAAGCAATGCCTTCTTTCTTTTCTTTCTTTTTTTAAACCATGCATAACAGACCAGTAGACAAAAAAAAGTAACATTTTTCCTATTATAAGGAAATAAGCTAAATATTGCTTGAACATATTTGTCATTATCACTCGCACCTTCCTTAAAAACTAGGACTATGTCAAAATGTAAAATTTCCAAGAAAAGCTATATTGGGCATTTAAGTTACATATTCATTAACATACAATTACACATTCCTTCCTCTTTTAACTTCTCTCTATTCTTAATTTTCATTCCTCTACTCCTCTAAATCCTGGCAGATTATGATGGGAATGTACTATTTAAAACACAAACACACAAAAGAAAATTCTTTCTTTTCTTTATGTTTCTGATCTATCCAAACCTACCTGAAAGGAATGTATACTAAATTTAAAATCTGTCAGGCAAATCACGGCAAGTGTAAGTCATAAGTGAATCAATACAAATGGGTCATGTCTTGGGTAACTATCAACCAGCTTTACGAATGTCAAAGTCTCAGGAGGGCTTTAAGAAACGTTTAACATCATGTGCACACGTGCCTCCGGCAGACACTCTGAAACTGCTGTTCCTGTTATATTTGCTGCACTTATGGAAAGGTCAAAGAATTAACATAAACCTGGCAATAGCAGCAATGAAATCCTCATCACCTCAGAAGATCACTGTAGCCAACACTTGCCCCAACATCTAAAAGCAGGCTTTCAGCTTTGTGTATACCTCCTAATTTCAGATGCCTTTACAAAACTCCACCTGTGCAGGCAGAGAAGTTGTACAGAATGGTGATAAACCTGATTTTTCCAGTCCATATTCTTCAAAAGAAATAACTAACAGGTCATAGATTAAGGGGCCCAAACCAACATCTCCTAGAGCAGCCCACAAAGGCGCAGACTAAATATCCATTAGTGTTTACAGTCGTTTACTACTTCATCAGTCAAGTCAACAAGATCCAACGGGTAACTTACTAGTCAGTGCCACTCCACAAGGTAACTCTATTAAGCCTGCCTGCCACTTCTTCCCTTCCTGAAGAAGGTGGGAGTATAGCTGTTTCGGGAGAACCTGCTTCCCCAAACACCTCCTCCTATGCACTGTTACCTGCCAGACAGCACCATCCACCACCATTTGATGCTCCTCATGCTTTCTCACCCTCCTGAAGTAGGCAAGGAGCAGTCTCTCCAAGCTCCCTGCTTCCCCAGCAGGTAGAACCAGGCTTGTCTTGTGGTGGGAGGAAGGTCGCCTGCCTGGGCTGTAAAGGAGTCTCAAACCCACAAGAGCTGTCCCCAAAGCTCAGTCCAGCCCCAATGGCTGTAAGGCTAAACTACCTTCAGTTAATCAAAATTTGTTTGGCTTATTAGACAAATGCAGGAGGGGCCTCACAGCTTTCATCCTAAAAACAGCCTTAGACCTCAGCCTTTACTGGTAAAACTGGAAATTGCGCATTGCTCATCAACCACTCTGGTAGTGAGGTAAATACGTATGCCAATTCTGCTCCATTCCAAACCTAAGCGTTTTCCCATTCAAGACTTTTACTGAGAAATGAAAAAGGAAGCCATAAACATACACCTTGCTGCAGCCTGCACAGTGACACAGGAGTGCTGAGTTCCCAGTTCTCATCCCAGGAGCTGGAATGCAGATTAGATGCCAAACAGAAAAGGGGGTTTTAAGTTTCCCAGTGCACCAACTGGAAAGATTTATTGGTAGATGGGCAGGACTGTTTCTCCCCTTGACAAAGTAGAGGGAGGC